CCCTGCGGGCCCCCTTATACAAAAAAAAAATCACACCTGTCCACTTCAAGATGTTTTTCATCCTTGTTGAAAAACAACCATAGAAATATTAAATATTAATATTTTTTCTATTTTTTTTATTTGCTTAAATCTTTTAACCAACTCCTACTCAGATTATACATATCAAATATCCATTCCTTTTGAGGATTTTTAACCCTTTATATGCCATTTTATTTACATGAAGTCACTGTTACTTTTATGAAAAAAAAACATGAATATATGATTTACTTTCTATATAATAAAAGTTGGATGGAATTTTTTTTCTATTTATCACAGTCTGCGATATGGGAATGATTAATAACAACACCCATTTTGATGCATTATTATTTTTTTGGGTGGTTTCTATTTTTGATAAACACTGAGACCTTTCCCCTTGTTGAAAAACAACCATAAAAATATTAAATATTAATATTTATTTATATTTATATTAATATTTTTTCCTACTTTTTTTTTTGCTTAAATCTTTTAACCAACTACTACTCAGATTATACATACCAAATATTCACTGTGGGTGTATGTATGAGAGAGAGAGCAGCAACCTGCAGCTCATAATTTGCAATTTTTAGCTACACAATTACACACACACACACACACACACACACACACACACACACAATATTTTTTTATTAGCTATCAGTGTTGGGTAAGGGTTACTTTAAAAGTAACCAAAGTACGTTACTGTGTTACTTTCTAAAAAAGTAACCAGTTACTTTACTGCGTTACTCCCTAAGTAAAGTAACTCAATTACTTTAAAAGTACTTTTGAGTATTCTACATTTCCTATTGGGCAATGGACCACAGGGCGCTAAGCCTACATTTATTTGTCTCCAAAATTAAAGTTATGGACCACTTGCCCTTCACTGAGATCCAATTCTCCCATCACAGCCGTCACTTTGACCAGTAGAAACACAGAACGATCTGCTGCCGTAGACAACTGTATGACAGCAACACCCCAGCATTTTTAATATTTCCTCTAGGGATGTTACCACACAGAGCAAAATGGGGAAATGATGGTGTGAAACAGCAGAAACACTTTGTCAGCCTGCTGAGTTAATGTTACTGTCATTAGCATCAAGCTAGCAAACAATGGCACATCCTCACGGTCAGACATAAAGTATTAACATTAACAAATAGCGGCGAGGCTTTTACTCACCACAACTGCAGAGGCTACCAGCTTCATTTGAAACAGACTACATTATAGACGGCCCATTAGTTATTAATCCCTCTGTGTGTTTATATATTTACTTTTTATCTGCTCCATGGTCTTTGTAAAGTTAACATATCGCACCGTCATTTCAAACTCAACACTTGTTTCAAATTAAAAGCCCCTTATAACCTCGGCTGAGAGAATCCCTGCATTTTCTAAATAGACTTTTATTCTGAAACATTTGTCAGAACTTCCTGTGGAAGATACAGTAGCTTGATAGTTTACTTATGGCACTTCAAATGAAGCTCCTGCCATCTGCTGAGGCTTTTAGGTGACTAAAACAACATGTCGGCTGGCACATGAACAGACACAGCTCTGGCAGTGACTCAAATAATAGTCAAAGTAATAAAAACAGGACAAGAATAACCCGATGACATCACACACGCCGTGAAAGACGACCGTGGATAATTGGTGAGTACCAGCGTGTAGCGTGTACCAGTCATAATGCAAGTCCTGAGTCTGAAATATGTCTGTCAGTGAGTCCTACTCCACCTATTTAGACTCCACCGTAGACAACGGCAGCATTTCTCCGACCATGTAGCGAGCCACAAGCTCCGTGGCTTCTGTCAGACTGATAGGTTTAACGTTATCTCTGTTATTAGAACCAAATGAGAGCTAATGCTGTTTCAGAGCTGAAGGACCAGCGTTCTAAAAGTAATGGAAGTAACTGATGTCTTGTTTGAAAATGTACTTAAGTATTTGATTACTCAAACAGCAAACTAACGCGTTAGGTTACTCATTACTGCAAAAAGTAATCAAAGTACTCTAACGCATTACTTTGCAACGTGTTATACCCAACTCTGGTAGCTGTACAGCCACAGCCCCCAGACATCCATACCAACACTATTGACATTGCTTGTTTTTCCGACATTTCAACTCTTATGAATAGCCTAATTCACACTGTCTACATGAGCTGGAGGCCGACAGCGAGAGTCCGAGGTGCCGAACAACGCTGCTTGCAGCTTTAATTTACCATTCTCTTTACAATATTTCCTATATTCTTGTCACTATGGTAAAAGAAAAGACGTGTCAAAAGAGCTTGGCTGGTATCTGAAACACCAGCAGTGCATCATTGTGTGTGATAAGAACTCAAAGACTTGAGTTTGACTAGTTTTCAACCATTAGTTATCAGCAGAGATGGGGGACTCGAGTCACATGACTTGACTCGAGTCAGACTCGAGTCGCAAATATAATGACTTGAGACTTACTTGACTAACGTTGATAAAAGACTCAACTTGACTTTGACTTTGTATTCATGACTTGAGACTTGACTTTGACTTGAGACAGATGACTTGAAAGGACTTGGCTTTAATTCAATATTAAAGGCACGCCAAGCACTGTTGGGCGTCACTTCTGTTTACGTTCAACTATGTTATCAAACACCACGAGCTAGACCTTGGAAAAACGTCATTTGACAGAGCTCTACGGTGTGAGCATTTTACTCGCATTTGCGACTAAAAATAGTTTTGTGCGAGCAAAAGAAATCATTCAGGAGCACGCTGTGCGAGTACAGATTTCAATCAGCAGCAGAAACGAAAGGCGAATCCTGCCGGTTGTGGGTTGAACGGGGGTCACAGACAGGAATATGGCAGAGCACTCTGGCCACCGCAAGATGGTGGTTTACCAGCGACCGTGAAGCCCGGCTCCTGGTCCAATAATTTCCTCTTTGTTGGTGTCATGCTCCACGGTGACTGTTAGCACCCAGCCCACTGTGGGTCTATTAGGGAATGTACTAAAATATACCAACCGGGCTGCATGATGTGTGTGGTTTACGCGCTGATAAGGGTTTGTTCTTAACTTATCAGAGGAGGAGGGTGGCTGGTTGATTTTTATTTCATTTATTTATTTTATTTTGATCCGCCCTGTAACCGCAAACATTTTTCCTTTTCGAAGTGACTGGTGGAAAATGCATGACCCTTCACCATGAATTAGATTTTTAAAATTTAGCTGAGTTCATCCGATGAAGTGTGCCAGGCGACCCAACTACAAAAGCCAGTGGACTAAAGACATCCTTTGTGTCTAATAGTAGAGCAGTAGGCCCAATGTAGCCCTGTGTGTGTGTGCTGGGCCCTTACCACACACATGATGGAGGAGAGGGTGACTCCAGAGGAGCCTTTGTATTTTGTTGTTTTCCTATTAAATGTGTTATTTAAAATTTTCACTGCGCTCCTAAATTTCTTTCTGTGCTGCTAACCTTTTTCACTGGGAGCACATGTGCTCCCAGTGAAAAAGGTTAGCGCAGAGCCCTGTTTGAACTCTGTTTTTAGCCTCATTGTAGCCTGTAGCTCTAACTGCCTCTCTGGGCACCGCGTTCACGTGTGCGCAAGGCCGTGAGACACAGGCACCACGTTCATGTGTGTGTGCTTGCTTTCGCTGGTCTCACACTGGCTGGTTGGTGCAGCCTGGACCCAAATGTTTTTGTTGCCATTTGCAGAGCTTGGGCTGCCTACAGAGACTGGACTTTTTCACAGCATATTCAGAGGACATGTAGCTAGCGGATTGTGAGGAGATGTTTGCTGTATGTCACATATGACTTGACTTGTGACTTGCTTGACCTGAGCAATGACTCGACTTGACTTGCCTGACTTATAGCAGAGACTTGACTTGACTTGCTTGATTCTCACCACAACTAACTTGGGACTTGCTTGAGACTTGAAGGTAAAGACTTGAGACTTGCTTGTGACTTGCACATGTGTGACTTTCCCCCATGTCTGGTTATCAGTGAAGGAGCAACAAACCAAACATACAATGGATGTATCAATTCCCCAATGCTCCATCATCTGCCCTCCTATGTGTGCTTTATATCTCCTTACACATTACCATTACTACATAATTGGGGTGGGGAAAAAATTGATACAGCATAGTATCGCGATTTTTGCGTGGTGATATTGTATTAATATATGGGCACCAAGTATGTATCGATAATTTATTATATGCATCATTCTTTTTTTGCAAATACACATTTTAATACAACTTTGGGTACTAGAATAATGAAATCAATTGCTTTTTCGGTCCACTAGATTTTATGTAATCATCAATACTTTAAGAAAAAAATGTACTTTAATCAAAGTCAGTCAACAAAATGTGGGACACATGGCCATTAAAATGGTATGGTGCAGAAAGAACAAAAATTAATTTGCAAATCTATAAACAATCTTTTGACAGTAAAACTTATTTTTTATATTTCTTCTTCATGTATCATTTTGTCATATGGATCTCTGTACATTTATTATGTCGATCTGTTCTGTACACACGACATCTGTCTGTCCAGGGAGAGGGATAGCTCCTCAGTTGCTCTTTCTGAGGTTTCCACTATTTTTCCCCCATGAAAGGGTTTTTTGGGGGGAGTTTTTCCTTATCCGATGTGAGGGTCCAAGGACAGAGGGATGTCATATGCTGTCATTTGTGGCTTTATAAATAATATTGAATTGAATTTGAATTGAAGTGTCACTACACCACTAACTTTGATTTTAATGTTAACTGAATACAACACACAATCTTCACACACATGCACAAGGAGGAGAGGAGACAGTGACAGCATTCTGAGTTTAACAAGCAGCATCTACAGTATATTTCTAAAACCTGCTTAAAATCTGCAGAGTTCTGTGGACGCAGATTCTGTATGGGCGTGATTATCAATAATTAAATGTACTGATTAAATATGAATTCATTAATTAACTACACATTATACTGCTCTTTTTATTTTTCACATTCTTGAATTCATGTGTTTAACTTGTCATGTGTTCTCTTTACAGTTCCTACAGCAAACCTTATAGGAAAGAACTATGGACTAGATGTCATCTACCGCCTCATCCCTCAATATACCACCAAACATCTGCACACCATCAAGTATGTATACCCAGGCTTTCTGCATATGACACTGACCACTTCCATGCCCATATCTCTTGGTGACTTATGCCAAAGACAGGAGATGTGGTGGGGAAAGAGGTCACTAACAGTTCCTAGATAACACTGCCAGAAAAAAACGATATTTGCTTAATTTTTTTCAAATCTTATTTAAGACTTGGGAAATCAGCAAGACATTAAAACAACTGATAAGCAAACAAAGAATAATCATGCATATCAATTTAAACAAAAATGAAATTATAGAAAACAACAAACAACACTAGCAATAAATGGGCTCTAAATGTAGAAATACAGGGTGATAAACGTGCTAAGGTGTAGATGTATAGTTAAAAGCATGAACACTCAATTAAAACTGAAATTGGAAATAGGCCCCTTAAACAGCCATAATGATTGCAGGGTGTCTAAGTTTAAGGTATTTTGTAGGTTATTCCATGTATAAGGTGCACTGTAAGAGAATGGCATTCTTCCTAGTTCAGTTCTGATTAAAGGAGTGTGAAGCAACAGCCTATATTGTGAAAGAGTACCATGATTATGTGAGGACAGAGTTAAGAGTGATGAAATATAGGGTGCATCTGTATCAGAGCTTTATAAATGAACAAATATCAATGCGGTTCCCGCCTCACAGCCAAATCTGGCCAGCCAATCTTTCGGTAAAGGTGGCAATGATGGGTGCTGTAAGGATCACCTGTAATGAATATCATATCATTTATGTAAATTGAAAACAATGTTGGCCCTAACACTGAGCCCTGTGGGACACCTTTAGTAATTTTTAAAATTTTGAATGAACATCACCCATCTTTATGCATTGCAGTCTATTGGAGAGGTAGTTTTCAAACCACAGGCAGCTGACGGAATCAAAACCAATACAGGGCAGTTTCTTTAAAAGTAACAAATTGTCAACTGTGTCGAGTCTGAGTCTATTAACAGAGCAGCACAAGACATTTTGCTATCCAAGGCTAGTGTAATGTCATTTAGAACCGGGGAGGTTGCAGATGTGGTACTGTGCATAGTCCTAAAACCAGACTGATAAGGAGTGAGTACAGAAAACAAAGAGAGATATGATCTAAGTTGCTTATTTACCAGGGACTCCAAAATTTTAGCCAGATACCATAATTTGAAAATAGGGCGATAGTTTATGTCGGTTTTACCACCTCCTTTATGAAAGGGAAGGACATAGGCTGTTTTCCAGGCTGTGGTGATTATTCCAGTGGAGATGGTCAGGTTCAATATATGAGTTATACATATATTCTGCAATAAGTGGTGGTGAGAGTTTCATAAAGAAAGCATCTAAACTATCTGCAGCGGTTGATTTTGTATTATCAATTGTAAGAAGAGCATTAATAACTTCCTGAAAACTAAAAGAGGACAAACTGAAGCTTGGTGAGGAGGCATTTCTGAGGTTACCCTGATGTTTGGGGGTATGATTAAGCAGCATTAATTACAGTACAATGCAAAAAGATCCCTCACTCATCACCTCCCAGCTAGCCTCCTAACCTTAGCTTGCATGAAATAATATCCTTCTCTCAGAACCCAGGACCAGACCACAAAGATGGGTCACTGACATTGAGTGACTTGTTGATTCAATGAGCAGTTTATTTAGACTTTTACAATTTGTGGAGTTAGGATTAGCATTTGGTTGGCTAGGAAAGAACAAAAAACTAAAATAAAAATTCAAAGTTATGATGTCTTTACTTTCTTCACCTTTTATTAATTTCAAACGATCAGTAATGGTTTCAGATACAAATGTTTGCTTGTATGGTAAGTACAGTTTAGTTATGATAATTTTTTATCTTGATATATTTTTTGTGCTTGTTGCAGGCAGTTCACAGAGTGTACATGACACAGACTGCTGTTGTGGCTGAGTAGATGACCAATAGACAGCGTTTATCATGTATCTGTTTGACCTTAAGTTTGTCATTCTCATAAAACTTCATAATACAAAGAATATGTTTCCCCCTTAAAATAGCACCACTAAGAAATAAGACCAGAAGTAGTTTTTGTCTACTTGGTTGGTTGGGTGTCCAACACTTTATAGCAACATACCTTAGAGGGACTTAATTGTCCCCAGAGGAAGAGTCCTAATGATGCAGACTCTTTAGCTTTCCTCCAGAACCCTGTAGAGCCAGCCTTTCACCCTAACAAATCTATTTGTTGAACTTCCTTATTTGCTGTGGATATTAGTGATAGCCAGTGGATGCTTTGGTGCAGGCTGACATCTCCTCTGGTGCAAACATCTTTTTTTTTCTGTTAGGTAAGAAATATTAAAATTTATTGGACAGGTTGCAGGGAAGTTGTTTGGCTTAATTATTACTCCACGTTTGACCATCAAATTTTAATCAGCTTATTCTTCAGTCCAAGTGGAATTTTGTGTCAAATTTGAGGAAATTCCCTCAAGGCCTTCTTGAGATATCACGAAACTCACAAAATGAGACGGAGACTGATGCAGGGTCACAGTGATCTTCAAACTCTGACCATCAAATTTTAATTCCAGTTTTAAGAAATTCCCTCCTGGTCTTCTTCAGATAGGACACAGCCGCTGTGACCTTACATAACATGTTTTTGGCCATTATTGAGGAATTAATTTGCTAATGATGACAAAACCTCACACAAATGTCTAATAGGATGTGTCTATCATCCACTGGGTACAAATACTCTAGATCAAATAACTAAATTCTATTTTCAATAAATGTTTTCCCTTAGTCACTGCTAAAACACAATCCATTAAACAGGACTCTTCTAAGCCATGGTTCACCCCTGGGCTACAGAAGTTTTCAAAGGAAAAAATAGACTTTAGGAAAAATTCTTAACAAACCCTACACCACTGCACCAATCAAATTATAAACATATAAAAACAAATTTACTCATCTCCTTAAATCAGCAAAAAAAGAAAAAAAGAAAAGCTATTTTGCTGACAAATTCAAGGAGTCCTCTGATAATATTGGGCAGTGATAAATCAATTATTGCATAAAAAGACATCTGCAGTAAAAGTTCCATCATACTTCTCTGAAAGAGGGAAAACCTTCATCACCTTGATCCATATGAAATTGCATGTAAATTCAACGATTTCTTTGTAAAGGTAGGTGCCTCCCTGGCAAAAAAAATCAAAACTTCAGGTGGAAGTCCCCTTGACTATATTGATGGTTGCTTTCCTTCATTTAAGACATTTGATCGGCCTAATGTAAATGAAGTTATAAGTATTATCAATAAACTAAAATCAACTGCTACAGGACACGATAAAGTCAGAACTTCTCTTGTGAAAGAAGTTAAATCGTCAATTGCAGATCGGTTAAAGTTTATTTTTTTCTCTGTCCTTAGAAACAGGAGATGTACCTAATGATCTCAAATTGCAAAAATCATCCCCATTTACAAATCAGACGATCCAAGGTCTTTTACAAATTATCTTACAATATCAATACTACCCTGTTTTTTTTTTGTTTTTGTTTTTTTAGATAATGATGGCTGTTTTTTTTTTTTTTTTCAACATATAAATTCAAATAATAAAAAACATTTTGTTAAAGCGGCTACAAACTCAAATACTAGGGCTTCATCCTCTCCTTTATTTTCTAAACTGAGGATCATAACCATATTTGATATTATTATCATGCAAATCTGCATTTTTATCCATAAGGCAATTCACCAAAGTCATGAATTACCCAATCACTTTCAGCAATATTTTCGCGTGAATTCTAGTATACACTCATACACAACAAGACAAGCAGGACACCTGCATCTCCCCCACTGCCATAGCAGCAGAGGGCAATTCACTATTACATTTAAAGGGATCACATTGTGGAATGAACATCAAAATCTTGCAGACAGCACTCCCTCCTTGTCTTTTTTAAAAAAGAGAATATTGATGATACTATTTAAACACTATGTTTAACAGTTTATTTTACATATGTATGTATGTATAT